GGCAGAGCTGCCGAGACGGGTACCCTGCCCACCAGCCATTAAGACCACGGCCACCTTGTTCGCCGCCACCTCCTTCAGGCCGTCTTCGTACCATTTCTGAATATCTGAGCGGTCGGAGTCGAGGATGGAAGCTGTGGCGACTTCGGGGAGGGGCTCGAGGGTCACGGTCCCCTGCTCGGCGGGAGGTGGGTTGAGGGCCTTGTCGGCCAGCTCGTTGATCCGAGTGGGGTCAAAGTTGGACAGCTGGTGGAAGAGCTGTGACTTCTCCACAGTAGTCAATTCCTCGACAAAGGCGAATACGTGCCCCTGTCCAGCGTCTGTGTACTTCTTCTGCAGTGCTTGGAACTCCTCCACTGAGGGTTCACGGGGAATCTCTGGAGCAGTGCCCTGGAGTTTTCCAAGAACATTGGAGACAGCATCTTTGATTACACCTGCCATTGTAGAGATACTTTTTGAGATAATAGAGAAAAGAAGAGATAAATTGAGGAGAAGGGAGAAGAGGAAGAAGAGGAAGGAGAAAAGTAAATAAAATAAAAAAAACGTGGGGTGAAGCTCAAGCTGATTAGGTACTTAAGTTACACCTTAAAGTGCACGCCACACTAATATATCTCAGACTATTAGGAACCTAGTGCGCTCCAGTTTATTTTTAGGGATCTGCAGAGGCGAATAATAACGAGTGGTCCATACAAAAAGTGGCTCGCGAGCACCGAGTGAGACCTGCCCACTGGAATTTATTGCACTAGTCAAAGCGGGGCCTTGGCCTGTCGGTAGGGGGCGAAGTTGAGTGGATATGTTCAGAGTACACCGTATTTATTCCAGATAGAATAGGGGATATTTGACTACTATCGTCGTTCACGGTAGCTCCGTTCTTTCCTCGAATCTCTTCGTGAATCCCGTTGTGGACTTCGACTATAGGATCGACGACGGTATCGATCCCGTCCGTCTCGACGGGGGCTTCGACTCCCTCGATCTCGACGAACGCGAGTGCGATCTGACGGGGCCTCCCGTGGAGCCTCGCGGGGAGCCGGAGTGCCCCTGTCCTTGTTTCGCTTGTCAAACACATACCTAGCATCATCCTCATCTAGAGGTGCGTCGTCCACCTCTCGATATTGGCGTTTCGCTTCAAGATCTGCAACACCACCAAATCCACCTCTCTGTCGGCGCTTGGTGACGGTAGAATTGCGCCAGCTCTCGGACAATTTGGACACCTGAGCTATATTAGCATATTGCTCTAGGAAATAAGTGGTGATGAAGAGCTCTTACACTCTGTGAGAAATCCACATGTATCCGGTGATCATCGATTAAGACACCCTGCATCTTGAAATAGGCCTGTTCACAGTCCTTCTGTTCCTCGAATTCAATAAAGGCATATTGTAGACTGTCACCAGTGCGCTTGTCCCGAATGACCTCGCAAGATAAGATCGTTCCGAAGCGGCTGAAAATAAGATTCAGATCCTCATCTAGCATTGGTTAGCTCGCTCTCACGACTCTGTAGGGGAATGGAATGCGAAAACCTTGTGTGACCGGATTGAGCTTGCAAACAAAAAGAATATTCTCTGGTGGCTTGACATCGGCGAACGGCAGATCTCCCACCATTTCCAATGTCAGCGCTTGCGCGCGAGCCTCACGCTCGCGACGCAGCTTGTCCATAGCCTCTTCATCCATATCATCATCCAACTCCTCATCGTCCGCGATTCTGACCGTGGCCAATTGGGCCTTGGAGGGGACCGGGCTTTCCGGTGGTTCAACCAGATTTGGCGGGTCATCGAAGGGGTCGTCAAGGACAGTGGTGTGACGAATGCGAATATCCTTCAGCGGTCGACCTCGGTCGTCAATAAAGGATTCATTGATTTTCTCAAGGACATCAAAGCCCTCAACGACCTTGCCGAAGATGACGGCCTTGCCATCTAAATAATCCAGATTGTCTCCAAGTGTAATGATGAATTGACTGGCAGCTAACCGTTGGTCGGGGTCGTTCTTGGCCGCTACCGTCGCCATGCTCACCGTGCCGCGCTCTAGGTGTTTTAACTTGCGCGACACCTGGAGTGGAAATGTCCTCTTCGACGGTCCGTCCAGCAGACCCCATACTGAAGATCCTCCATCGCTCTCGGGTGCGTCAGGGCCGAGCGGATCGCCAGTCTGGAAGGTGAAGTCCTTTTGGACACTGTGGATGGGCGAGAAATTGTAGTACTTGAGCTTGCATAGCTTCAAGAAGCTAAAAGCACACAAAATGAACTTAGTTTCAGATTTCAGCAGACTGGGAAAGCCAAGGAATGGAGCCACTCACTTGTCACACGCTTTGGGTGCATCATCGACCAACAGGTCGATTACAATGTCGCCCAGGGAGGTCTCTAAAAGCGCGCTCATGGCGGGGAATCGGGCGCGTACACCGAATTAGGCGCTTGGTCAACAACCTAGGACAAACACTTTGGTAACAAGAGGGAGGTAGGTATAGAGAGACAGAGCGAATGTGAAAGTCCGGGAAATGCGAAATGCGCGAGAGAAGATCGCCGAAGCTTCGGCCAATCATCGCCCGCGGGGATCCCCAACCGGAGGGAACTCAGCCTCTCGCAGTATATTTCTTTTTCCTTTCTTGTTCCTTTCCTTTTCTCCCTATTTTTACACACAAAAGGATTTTCCACGTACCGATGGGTACATGCCGCGCAACAGCTCTAGGGCTCTCCGGATGTCGACCCGGGAGACTTGTGAAACGGTGCTTGCCAATCAAGCTGCATATCTTCCGAATGTCCCCGTTGGACATAATGGATATAACCTTACGCTTTTGAGATCGACGTGCAGCGGATCTTATTAAGGGCCTTGATCGACCCAGGGATTCCAAGTTTGAACTGTTTGTGTGCTTATATCCCTCATGCAGCAGCAGGCTCAGCCAAAAGAAGCATCTCTTGGCAGAAGTTCGAGAGTGACTATTGTCACTGTCACTGGATGCTAAATCCTTGGAGACCAAGCCACACCCTGTACTGTTTCGCCTTCTTTCCCCACCGAGACCATAGCACCGTCTCGCAGCTTCCACTGGAAGTACACGGTCCTCCTTTGCTAGGACAGTACCATCTTCTCTTGTGAGCTGTTCCACAACAGAAACGTTAGGAAGGGGAAACGGGCGGCCTCCTGCAGCAGGATCCAACGGGTATCATCACCACCTCATACTAACTTCTTGGAAAGAGCCACACACGTGGGATGGGATATGATCAATCCTGAGCCTCTTGCTCTCTTGCCTTCTCGATCTACGGAGCTCCGGTCAGCAGGCAGGGGTTGCCTCCACCGTATCGTCTGCAACAAAAGCCAGTCTCAATCCCAACATGTGTTCCTGGCGAGTCAACTCAGAGTCAGCTGGCTTAGCCTCCAGGGCTTGTTTCTCCTGACTCTTAAATCGCAATTCCTACTTCCCCCCGGATGTCGTGCATCGTCAAACCTTGAACTGCCGGAACTTGTCTAAATACCTACGGACTCCATGGGGTCTAGATTTGTATTTGAGACCTAGACTTTGATTGCCTTCCCCACTGTTTTCTTTTCTCTTTACCTATGTCTCTCGTGTCCTGACACTGGATGTCTTAAGGTGTACGATGAGTCCATTAGAAAGAGAGTTTATACTAATCTTGGGGAACCCCTTCTAATTCTCTGCCCCATGTCATACCTGTAACGCGGAATCCACTTCTCTCCACATTAGCTCCAAGCAATGTGCGAACCTTGTAAGTATCCCAGACGTTCATGCATCTCAGTCGGCACTTCTAGATTCCCCCTTTTAGCCTTTAGCGTCGATGATAGAGTTCTGGTATGTCAGAATAGTTTCATACACTGGGTAACTATACTATCTCCCTTCCTCATTTTATGGACTTGATATTGCTTTTTCCCCTTTCCATTTCGATCTAGCTGCGTACCGGAAGCGCTAAAGAACGCTGGATCTACCCATGTCGATCCTTTAGATTGTTGATCCCTGGCTTTTACTAGAGCGCGCTTGGCCCGGGGAAGCCAACTCGTGCGCTTGTAAGTGACAGGTGTCATGAGAGATTTTGACTCTTTTGATACTATATTTTCTTTTTTCTTCTCTCTTCTCTTTCTCTATTGAGACATTTGAAGCATCCTGAGACAGGCGTTTGTTTTTCTTTTCTTTTATTATTTCACCTTCTTTTGGACCGTGCGTTTGCAAGATAACATATGTTCCAGACCTCGAGTTCAGAAGTTCGGACTATTTTGACCTGCAGCTATACAAAACTATCGAGCAAACATTTTTACGGACGTCGGGATATACTCCCCCGCGGATCGTCAGGTATCTGCAAACAGTAGCTCGGCAGTTGCCCGTTCTTTTCTTCTGGAGGAGATACACCAAGTTCATGATCTTATGTACTTCTCTTACTTCCATTAAAAAGGGAAAAAGAGACCTTCAAATTGGCTGAAACACTACCTACCGGAGCAGCCTGTTCTCGTCATGGCTAAGGTCATGTCCGTGCGACGTTACCTTGTGAAACCTCTCTTTTAAAACGCCGACATTTTCTGTTTTTATATGGCCAACTGGGGGCGACTGGGGACAACTGGGGGGAATAGCGGAACTTTGCATATCATTTTCCCCTTGGAAAAAAGTAGAAAAAATACGAAACAGTAAATAAGAAGATAAATAAGAAGAAAATTGAAAAAAAAGGAAAAAAAGAGAAACCAGGTCCAGGGTACTTTTGGCCTATGTACTGTGTATGTCTTCTCTCTACAAATCTCAACACACAGACAGCATAGAAAAATAATATTATAATATATAGAGAAAAAAAAGCAGGGGCAAAAATATCGTCTATATATTATAAAAAAAAGAAGGCAATCAATCACACCGATTGTTACCAAAACATGGCTTAAATCTAGCCCTATTTCCCAGAGACATCTTTCGTTTTCTACGTTCTTTCTTCTTTTCACTTATAGGCACAGTGAACTTGGTAAATTTTCTTTTTGATATTCCCTGCTTTTGAACTGTGAAACGGGTGTTCTTTTTTGCTATGTCAATGGATCACACATACGACCTGGCCGGACTAGAAGCCCGGCACAACTCGACCATTTCTATGGCTCGGTCGATGCGGGTGGGCAAGCAGGAACGTCTTGAGCGAGATGAAAAACCACGGAAACAGAGGAAGCGAGCCCTAGTCGCAGTAAGTGCTCTCTTCATTGATCTCCCGGCGGCTTCTAACCTTCCACTAGTGCAACCGATGCCGGAAGAGAAAGATCAAGTGCAACGGTGATCTCAACACTGGCCTGGCTTGCTCTAGCTGCCGTAGTGTTGGAGCCACTGAATGCCAGTATATACGAGTAAGCGCAAGTCCACAATATCTACAACGGCAGAGAGTCATACTGACCTTTCTTTTGTTGCTTCCCAGGTCAACTCTTTGGCCCCTGAAGATGCTGCTAGAGAAGCAGCTAGGCTTTATGCAACCAAGGGTCAGGGAAGGTCAATCCTTATGGGCTCCCCTCAAATGCGGGCTCCATACCAGCGAGAAGAGTACGAGCTGGATATCCAGTCCAACTTCTCACGGCAACCCGTCGGCATGGACCACTCCTATGACGACCAGTCAGCCAACTACCACGGTCAGACATCGCCAGGGTATATGCTGTCTAGCACTGGAGGAATGCTCGACTATGGCACCGCATGGGCCAACCGGGCCTGGGATCTTAACGGCAGGCCCGAGTTCTTCGAAGAACAAAGCAGTAACATGAACCAAGCTGCATATGGCTTCGTCCTCCCAGGCCAAGGCATGTCCACCGAGATGCCCCAGTCAACAGGAGCAATGACAACGTCCTACGCAGACGTAGACCGCACGCTCCCAACACCCCCAACATGTCGAAGCCAGCAGTCCAACATCAGCCTCTCAACCCTCCCAGACGGCCTCTCAGGCATGACCCTGGCCACCGACCCAAAAGGCTGGAACGCGCGGTACGCAACCTCCCAAGACGGCCGTACAGTTCCAATGACCGTCCCAAGTAACGGTCTCTACAACATCAGCCCCTCAGCACGCGTCAAGTCAACCGACTCAGAAGGCGGAACACCTGACCTCGTCTTCGGATACATCCCCATGTCCACAGCAGAAGATCCATCCCCACTTCCCCCAGCCTCGTCCTCTATGGCCACCTCCGCTGCAAACCCTCCCTACCCAGCCCTGGACACGATAGAGAACACTCTGGGCGAGTACAACACCTCCGATGCACGTCTAGGACGCACGTTTCAGCGCGAGAGCGGCGCTGGACAGCGTCTTCTCGCGCTGACATCTGATTGTGCTCCTGATGTGTATGGGTATGCGGGCAGTGAGCGCAGGAAGTCCAGGGGTGTTGTCGACGATGTTCGCTGCTCAGCGCCGACTCTTGTTAATGGTTTGCCCTATACGCGTGTTCGACACACGGACTCGGCTGTCGGTCTGCCGTACGGTTTTCTACCTGATGGCTTGTCGGATTATGGGCGGCCGGTTGATATGCATCGTTCTCCTGTTTCGCCGCTGGGACATCAGGGGGCGTATTGAGTTGACTTCAATATTTCTTTGATCTTCGCTGTTCTCTTCTTTCCTGGTCGGTCTCTTGCTTGGTCGTTTCTTTCTTTCCTGCAAGATACACAAAAGAGATACCCATATCAAGGCCGTTTATATCTGCCTTTGTTCTGCCCATTAATGTCTTCTCATGTCTGTTCTCTGGTTTCGTTCTTCGTCGCTTTGGTATTTTGCTGTTTATTCTGTTATGTTTGGATTTATTGCTCGTTCTGTCATCCTTTTCAGTCTGCTTATGTTCCAAAAGAGAATAAACATCCGATTGGGGGGGATGGTGATGAGATGTCCATCCTGTCACACCCGTCCATTAATATTACTCCCTAATACCCCAGTGGCTTTATGCAGTGATTTATATTGTGATTCTGTCTCTGGTTTCAAAACTATGCCTTTTTTAATGCCATGTGTGTTTAGTCTTTGGTGGAATGTCTTATTTTCTGTTGTTACTATGAGAACACTCCGGTCTGTGATTTGTCACCATCAACAATGACTCGGAAGAGCTTGTTAATTCTAGTTCGCTGTCTTCTAGCCATTCTTCGAAGCGTGATGTATGGCCTATCCGAAAGTAATGTCTTTTACATATCTACTCTATCTAGTCTTACTTGAATATCTATACCTCCATGTAGCATATAAGCACAAACTCCCAATCAAACGACCATATCCCGATACAATACATATAATAGACCCCATCCCTATGTATCCCAATCCACCTTTAATAAGTCACAAGCATGGACTAGGGCTAACCATGTGCTCATGTGCCTTGCACCCCCGGACCAGCACTAGGATCCTTCCTATCCAGAAAGTAGCACACAAATCCGCACATCGGCAGACTCCTGACTCCCGCACTTAACTAGGATGCAGTGATACAATAATCCAACCTGCCATGCCGTATACAACCCTACCATGAATGTGTCTGGGTACTTGTCGGAAATCCTACGGTAGCAGATATGTATCTACATATCTAGTCAGAAGACCAGTTCCCGAATGGAACAAGTCCACGTGGAATTGGGATGTGGTATTTCCATATGGGAAATGGAAATTGAAAGGGAATTCTGAGAGAGGGAATTTGTAGGTTGTGTAGTCTGCCACATCGTACAAGCGATCTAATCCCAGGGATATACTTACACAGCCTCCCAGCTGGGTTCTGTTGCTTCGAGGTCTTGTCATGCTAGATGTGATGGGTTGATTTGGGTTTGTTCCTGCATTGTATGTGTTGGTTTGTTGTTCTTTCCAGATGGACTCATTGAGGATTGGCTGCAGTGGTTCAGACGCTGTTATAGAGGCAGACACTGCGTCTTTTGCTTACTCTATATATTTGGATAAGTAAAGCTATTGCACTATTGCACAGAATTCTTACACTTAACTGCTGTTGGATTTGAGCAATGATCAGCTGCAGCATTCAGCAGGTACGAGTTGTCACTCTGAATTAGGGCTTTAGCGCCTTGGTAAATTTCAAGGGCCCATGTAACCTAATGCTTTGACAGTGTATTTTCCGAGAATTTATCTTGGAAATAAAAAGAAACCTGATTAGCATGCTTGTGCCCCCTAAAATTTTGTTTTCCGAAAATGAGGACCAATCGCTCACATCACGGCGGTTAGTGTTTCTTTTAATAAGCACTCCCCATGTCCTAACAATTGGTCCACATAGAACCATATCGAATTATTATAAACGCCCGCATTTGACTCGTAGAGGCCCAGAGCCCTAGAAAATGTACTTATAGACAAGGACTTTCCGCCCGTAGATAATACACCCAGCATTATCCAAAGCTGCCACTCCTGACTAGTGAATGCACCAATTAAAGAAACCATGACATCCAGACTGCTCAAACCTCTCGCTGTATTCGGCCGCCAACCCCAATCCCAGCGGTACATCGGATCCATCAAGAACATAGGCGACGCATGGCGCACCCTTTCCGAGGAACCATGCGGAGAGGTCCTTGGGGGATCAGATCGAGCTTTTGGCCATGGGGCCCAAGGGGCTACCCTGACCATTTCACTCTTTTTTTGGCTTTGTATATTGATATAGTGGTATTGATATAGACACGAAGGCTAACTGGTACATCAATCATTGATGAGTTAAGACATCTGTTATGTCAACTATGTACTCCGCATTTGGAGCATAGAACAATGGAGGGGTATGGCTTGATATAGACTGAGCCTAGACTACGCCGCAGAGGGTCTTGAGTCTACAGTCTGCAGATCCAACTACACCAGATCCAGACATGGCTCCCCTACGAGCGTACAATAATACATGTCCAGTCTACAAGACCGCCAGACCGAGTGAAGAGAAACAAGTAAAATGTAATTTCATCCCGGGCAAACAGCCGAAGCCCGGATTCTCATAACCCCGGCCGTCTTCACGAAGACTGATGATCCCCTCCCCAAAAAACATACACAAAGAACCACAATACTGACGCCCTGTTTTTAATTTCCATGGGGATCGCCAGCCTTTTTTTCTCGGGAATCACCAGCTCCAACAAGCACAGGAAGAAAAAAGAGTATCCGTCCACGATCTTCACCATTCAACGGGCATCATTTTTGGTTTTAGTCTGATGTTCGCTGAAAAGGAAGATAAACCACTTCCCCCACACACGACCGACCGCACCTGGGTCCGGACAAGCCATAACCAGGTGGGAAACTCCAGAGCCAAAGCCGTCACCGCCATAATCTTTCCCATCGCGCCATGCCGCATCATCGGTCCATGTTGAATCATGCGAATAGTTACAGATGAGGCGTTTAATCCTTGCTCTTCTTGGGGCCCTTGACCTTGGCGACACCGCGGAACTTCTTGGAGCGGTTCTTCCGTTGCTTGCCTGTAGGGAGGAAGGGGTGTTAGCAAAAGGAACATGAGATCCCTGTTTCGCGATTGATAATGGCAGAGACGAAGAGAAAGACATACGCTGCTGGCGGGAAGCCTTCTCGATCTTGCTGGCGGCACCGATACGGACGAGACGGTAGTGGGGCTCGAACTTCTTCAGGGCCTCGGAGGAGTCGTAGACCAGAGCGAAGCCGGTGCTCTTGCCACCACCGTACTGTGTGCGGAAACCGAAGACGGAGACCTGGTCCTTGTTGGACTTGTACAGATCGGCCAGCTTCTCACGGAGCTCGTCCTTGGAGACGTTGGGGCGGTTGGGGTGGAGGACGTCCCTAGATATTCGCGAAAATATGTCAGAGCGGGGTTTTCTGGGCTTTTGTTTTTCGACGCTTGTTTCTGTGTGTGTTGCGATGTTCCAATTGTGTTCCTCTTTCTCTTTGTGCTGGGTGGTTGTCGAATTTCCATATTGCGCGCCTGCGATGCATTTCCCACACACAGATCCAAAACGAGGGGGAAATTCAGGGGGGTTCTTACACGACCATCTGCTTACGGGCAAGCAGAGGGTTGCGGATGAACTTGCGAGTCCGCAGAGTGACGGGAGTGTCGGCCATTTTGGTGTGTGCGTTGGATGGAGGAAGTGTCGACGGGGGTCACTGAGGATGTCGAACTTTCAATTTTCGTGTGGTGTGGGCTCGGCTAGGGTAGACGCTAGCCTGTTTGGGCCGTATGCCTCAGGCTAGAATGACTAAGATTATTTATGCCTGAGGCATAAAGTCTTGATCAGCCCTTGATTATCTCATTCCTGACTCGTCCACTCCCCTGGGCGCGCCCGGGCTCCAATGATATCCGCCGCATTGGTCTGTTGTGATATCAAGTTCATTACTATATTCATGCAATAGTCATGACCGATTCTATTGATAAATTGGCGGCGCAGTATTTCCAGCTGGTCGAGCTCCAGCACTTGGCCCTCCCACCAGGTCCAGTGTTGATCCGGCCAGCCGTTCAAGCAGCCTTATACGAGCGCATGTTCAACGAAAATGCAGTCTTCCCCATCCCACCAGACAGCTATCGCAGCCGAGTGCTGAAGCAGATTCTCTCGCGCATCGAGGAATCAATTACCAACCCCGAGGAGGATGTATGCTCACCCACTTGTTCAAATCCTTCTATTCTGCATTTTATGAATTTCCTATGTTTCCCTTTTCTATCCCATGTACATTCACGTCACACCAATGCAAAACCGTTTTATATTCCTTGATTTTCCACCTATCTAACCTCTTCCCTCCCCCATGAACACAGGAGATCAACGACGATCTCATGGAAAGCTGGAGCACACTAGTCTCACAGCCCAAACCCTCAGCCCTGCAGCAGGCGCAGCAGTTGTCGTTAGTCAAGTACACAGCGCCAACATCCAGTATGGGAACCTCTCCCGAGCGCACTGTCACGACCTCTGAATCGCGCGGCCTAATTCTATCCGCTGGAACTACCGGTAATCGGACATGGGAGGCTGCTCTGCACCTAGGTTCGTTCTTGGCGTCTGAGACGGGCGAGGCTCTTGTGCGCGGTAAGCGGGTTATCGAATTGGGTGCTGGCACGGGCTTCTTGTCGCTGGTTTGTGCATGCCACCTTGGTGTGCGCTCTGTTGTTGCCACTGATCGTGAGCTGGCGCTTATTGATAATATTCGTGATTGTGTCAGGCATAATTTGCATGGCCGGGAGTCCATTCCTATTTATCCTGCTGTTTGGGAGTGGGGGACTCCGCTGGGGAGTACTGGTGACCTTGCTACGTTGGGCTCTGATGAGGGTGAGGAAGGGACAGGGCTGAGGTTCGATGTTGCTCTCGGTGCTGATCTTGTGGGTGTCTTTATGGGCTGTTTACTTGATTTTCGTGCTCACATGTATAGATCTATGATACGGACCTTGTTCCTTTACTCATGTCTACTGTGCGGGATCTTTTTGAGAACTACCACATCAAAGAATTTATCATCGCTGCGACCCTGCGCAATGAGGATACTTTCCGCACGTTCTTGAATGCTTGTGGTGAGTCTTGAAGTTCAGACATGGACGTTGATGCCCTTGTCTTATGCAGCGCTAAGCATCTACAGAAAGCAACTCGTTCGCTGTTGAAACCCTCCCGTTCGAATCTACATCATCAGAACACCAGACAGGTTTCTTCCATTCGACCACCATCCCAATCTGGACATATCGGATTTCGCGGACGAAATAAGCAGCCAATTGAACTGCGTTTACACATCACGAGATAATGAGTATGAATAGAGAATGTGATATCATGCAAATGATGCAAAAGTTAGTGATTGAATGAAACTTGTTGCTGCAGTATATAACTAGCTCCAAAGGAACTCTATGCAAAATTGTTCAACTCGATCGGAGTAAAACTCCAATGGTACTCAATGGAGCTAAGTCCAAGCCACACGATCTTATCGCGTAAAAGACGCCTTGTGAAAAGGACCAAAGAGTGTACACCGTATCATCTAGACAGGTTCAGAAAAAGATGAAAGCATGGGTATCATCACAACTCGCGCCATTCCAAAACAGGAATACAAGAAAATGCAACAACCGAACCGTGAGAGCAGAATGCAAATAAAAATAGAAATAATAATGCAAGATTAAAACGAGTGTAGGCGCTAAAGAACAATGAATGTGCAGGTAGTTAGGTTGCGAGGAATCTAGCCATTCTCTTCGGCTAGACTCTCTCGCAGCAGGTCTTCGTCTATGCTTTGGGCATGAATTGAAACCGGAGCAGGAGGCGGAGGCCGCAGGCCCATTATCGGACCCTTTTGGTTCACACCTGGGTATCTGAATCGAAGAGCTAGCGGGTCAGGTGGTTTGGGCGCAGACGTAGAAGATGACGATGTTACAGACGTGTTTGGCGAGTCTGTCGGATCTTGCGAGCCATTGTCTGATGTGGTCGGCGCTACGCCCCAGCGGCCCAGCACCCAGCCTCCCATGCGGCGACCCAACGTCGAAGCTTTGCGGGGCCCAAGAGTTGAGCCGGTGCTGGTGCTGTCTGTGGATACAACCGATGCTGTGTCGGACTTGGCGTGATTGCCCGCAGCCATGGAAGCAAGCAATGACTGGGATTTGTGCTCTGAGCTCGTTGAACGATCGGCTGTGATGGCCGGGGCCGAGATTACTGGGGGTGTTGACAGTAGTTCGATACTGGGTGATAAGATGCGCCGAGGAATCCGCATACCGGGATGCCAGTCGCCCATTCGCTTGTGGCGACTGGTGGGTGTATGGATGTCCATTCCAGCAACAGATACAGAGAGCAAGCTGTCATGAGAAGATGATCTGCGCAAGGATGAAGGCTGTACATGCATAGTAAAAATGTCATCTTCGGTCGTCGCCAGTGGTTCACCCATAGGCGAGAAGTATGCCACTGATGGAGATGGTTCGGATTCCTCTGGGATAGCTGGCTCTCTGGTGACATTATCACCGGTACTCAAGAAGTCTTGGCGGCTGTAGATATCATCTTCAAATGCAGATAGGTCGTCGGGTGCATCGTGGTCATCAAAGCTACCGATTGGCCGGAATGGCATATCAAGACCCTTCAGGTTCCGTGCCTGAACCAAAGGCGAAGAGAACACAGTACTTTCAGGGCTGGTAGGCTGAGAGGAATCAGCGCCACGTTCAACACGATCAAAAATCGATGACGTCTGGAACGCGGACCGAGGGGAGCTTGCCAGCGAGTCCGGAGCATGAGATTGTAATGACCAGCGGCGTGAGGATGAATGGGGTGGGATGGAGACAGAAGTTTGCGATAGAATGGTTGACATGGAGGATCCAGATGACTGGGAGTGATGAAGGCCTCTCCGGGGCGAGTGTGCCCTTGTCGCAGAGTGCATTGCTACAGGGCTCAACAAAGCGGGGCGGCGTTTCTTCACGCGACGGTTCAGTGGTCCTTTCTCCTTCTTTGTAGCTGGAGCTGGATTTGGTGTGTGGAAATGATGATGGATGTGTAATTCCTGAGATACGCGTCGTTCTTCCTTCGCTCGTAGCTCCTCACTCAGCGTAGTGGAAGGCCTCGGCTGCACATTGTCCTCCTCATCGACGCCGGCCAGCGGCTGATGAGAAATAACCTGTTCCCGTAGATTCTGCACTTCTTCATTCGAGCTCTGAAGCATGTCGCGCAGTTCCATGATCCCAACTTGCAGATTGGCGTTGTCTTGCAATATATCCTTGACGAAACGAGAGACCACGTTTGTACCACCTGTATTGCGGTTGAGTTCGGAGGCGGCGGCGACACCCTTGAGACGCCCCGCTGCATTGTCCAGTTCGCGCTCCACAGCTCTCTTCCGCTCCATGCGTTGCACAAGCTCTGTATGTCGCTCCCTCTCCTCGCGCGCCTCTTTCTCGATGCGGTCGACTTGATCATGGAGGTCTCGCAGGGTGTTCTCTGCTTGTTTCCACCGTTGGATGGCCGATTTCTCATCTTCCCGCACTGACACAAGGCTCTCTTGAAGTTTAGACTGCTCTGTCTCCATGAGAGCTAGTTGTGCCTCCAGCTCTGCGGCACGCGCTGCAGCCACTGTCAATCTTCGCAGCTCAGACTCCGTGTTCTCCAAAGTAACTGTTAGGGACTTGACATGGTCGTCAGACTCGGCGACCGCTTGATTCAAGCTGTCAAGTTGCTCTAACAAGGTGCGATTCTCTTCGATAATGCGCGCATTTTCTGCTTGAACTTGTTTCTTTTCGCGTTCTAGGTCGTCAATGCTGCTGACCAGACGATGGCGGTCCTCTTCCGCTTCAGCCATATAGCTTTCATGGCGGTGGAGCAAGGCCTGTAGAGCAAAAGTCAGTGATGATGCCTCAAAACATCCTGCCTTGGCAGTATAATCATCAAAGATAGCCATGACGGACGCCAACACAGTGTGAGAGAATAGGAGATCGTGATCCGAGGGAGGCCATCTGAGTAACGATGTGGGGTGTGCACAAGGTATGCAGAATGTGCAATCCGAGTGGTATAAATGAAAGAGCAAGGAAAACAAAAACCCGATAAGGTACGAAGTAATTTCCGAGGAATGTTAAATTGATGTATCGAACATGCATGGTTCAGCCAGCCCAGGAACAGCTCGGCGGGTCATACCCAACCAACAGCGACATCATTTGGGCAGCGAAGATCGAAGAAGATACGTACCTGACCTAGTCTAGCAGCAGTCTCCAGATCTTTCTCCAGGCCCTCGAGGGCCACATTGTTATGCTCGAGCAAAGCACAGTCATTGCGGCCACAGCAGCAACGTAGGGTGGTGGAAGCGCTTGAATGGGTAGGAATGCTGAGATCCTCAGCGCTATGTGGAGGATCCATACTAAGAATGTGGCCCCTTTGGGGAGCTGAGTGTGTGGAGAGGCCTGATCATCAGTGAATCTGGCAGCTTCGAGCTATCACAGACTACTCTGTATCACTCACTGCATTTGATGAGAAAGCGGAGATCCCTAAATTCAACCGAGATGAAGATCAGCCTCCAGGTGTTCGAGGCCTTACCGCTTTGATATTGCTGGGACTCACCGCCTCTAAGTCTAGAATGAAGCTGACGTCAAAAAGAATTATATACAACAAAGCTACTAACAGTACCTAGACAACGAATTGAAAGATGTTATAATAACAAGGGAAGGGAGCCATAAGGACAAATGAAGATATGCACAGGTTTAAATTTGATAAAAATTAAGAACTCAAGTCAGTATTGAAGATTCAAAAAGTAATCCCCAAGGGACACATCATTCTGGCTAAGAGATACGTAGAAGTTAAATTTGACAAAAGGAAAATCTGGGCAAAAAGCAGAGAGTCATAAAAGTAGAAGTAAATCAACATGAACATGAAGCCCAAACTAATATCTGAGATCGGTTAGTCCCTCCACAAAAAGGAACATCAGTGAAGAAAAGAAAAAAAAAGGGGGGACAAACAAGACCCTAACCCAGCGCCCAGTCAAAGCAGAATATCATCCCGAACATTAATGAACGCCCCAGCGCCGCCGTCTTCACTGATCTCGTTAACCAGCACTTCAGTTTGCTGGTATAGTCTTTCCAGCGCTGCAGCAGATGATTTGCCCAATGAGACTACAGTGACGTGTTAGCATCTTCCTTCGCAAGTAGGAACAGAAACAAAGAAGCAGAATAAATAAGTCAAGCATACCAAGAATAGCCGAATTCAACTCCTCAGCCACAGCCACTCGTCCCTCGGCATCGAGGTAATGGCCATGCACAGACCTCTTCGGATCAGGATACGCCACCAGTGAGAAGATATCGTCCAGCAGCTTCTTGTCTCCGCCGTTCTCGTCAGTGGGGTAATCAGCGCGCAGCTGCTGGCCATACTGTACTGCCTCCGTGAGGAGCTTGTTGAACTGTGCGACGACCTCGGGCTCTTCGGTGTCCATGCCGTCCGCGACCCAGGCATCACCATCCCCGTCGAGCTCCATCTCCTGATCGAAGACGGCGTGCTCGTGCGAGTTGGGGGATGTCGAGCCGCGGCGCTTTGCGGCAGTTGCCGCGGAGAGTTCATTGGACCGCCGCATCATTTCGAGGAATTTGCGGCAGCGCAGTTTGAAGTGGATTTCCGGGTGGTCTTCTAGGACATTCGAGTAATACGCTTTCGTGTGCTTGAGGGCCTTGTCAATGTCGCCGTCTAGGATTGCGGAGCGGATTTCTATGGCCTGTCAGTGGGGGCTTGGCGCTGGGAGGAATGTGGAGGTGTAGACTGACTGTTCCGGTTGATGGCTTCGCGGTCTTCCTCGACTTCATATTTCTTCAGTGGCTCGTTGCGGCCGTTCTGTAGGGCTAATGTTTCGGTGGCCACCTCTTCTGCAAATGCACGGGCTGTGTCTACGTAGCCGTCGTGGGCGAGGAACTGTGCGACTAACTCTTGCATAAGTGTCGACTCGTCCAAAGGTGGTTGCAGACCAGCCGTGGATGCTTCGTTAATCTCTGATAGAACGTTGAATCTCTCTTGCTGGTGGGAATTAGCTTGATAACCTCCAAGTATGTAATGCCAACGGCACAGACCTTGACCATGCCATCGATATCAAAAACGAAAGGCTCCTGTCCAAAGTTCGTTTTGAGATGTACTGGTGGTAGTTTCTTCATTCCGACAGACGGGAAAAGTCTCGCATTGTGCAGATCGTGAAACGCATTTCCTGCCAAAATTAGCCTAACATATCTCCATTACAATCCACACACAAAAGCCTACCCAAGAAAACACCGTTCTTAGTGAAGAACGCAGATCCTGTAGAGAAATTCACACCACATCCGACTGTATCGCCAGCACCAAAAGTCGGTCCATATGCTCGACCTTGTCCTTGACTCTCACCAAAGAACGATTTTCCATCATCGCCATGGTAAGCCCAGGATTCGGTCTCCCAACCGGGAAGTCTCTCGACGGATGCTTTGGGGCTAGAAAATCCAATACCGATCATGCTAGGAGGGAAAAAGAGTCAACGTCGATGGTCAATATCTACTGAGCAGCTCATTCACATACCCTTCCTTCGGCTTTGACTCAATCTTGACTTCAAAGTAATAGATCCCGCACTGCGGCGGCATAGGGTGATCCGCGCGCAAGGCAGCAGCTTCATGGTCATGCTTGTGCATAGGACCAGTGTAGCGCACGTCGAAGTTCTCGTTCGATAATTCCAAGCCGGAAAACTTGTCTTCGGAGCTCCACTGACTGGGCAGAGGCATGAGGGGATCGGCCGAGGCGGGCGGTTCCTTCTCTATGAGCTCATAGGTCATGCCGCGGTGCGACGGGGCGATGCGGGGCAGGTGGACATTGCTGGAGGAGGCGGAGAGGGGAGGATTGGAGGTTGCGGATGAAGGGTCTCGCTGTTGGGCAGCGAGTTTAGCGCGGTAGGCGGTCTCGAGACGGGCGATGTAGCGGGAGTTGCGGAGGTAGGATGGGGTGAGGAAGGCTGGGCTGTCGGTGAGGCCTAGGCCGTGCGGAAAGTCGGCCGAGCGTAGAAAGCCGGCATACTTGCGAGACCAGGGAGGAAGTGACTCTGTTGAACCTGTGTTTCTCCAGGCGGAGTTCATGTGCATGTCTGCGGCATCCACGCCGAACGGAGCCCGGTGGACTCGGCTGTCGGACGGGGGGTAGGAGATTGGGTGGGAGTTGAGGAGATGTGAGAAGGAGTTGGAGATTGGTGGAAATGCGTTGCCAGATACTACTGAGGCGTAGGAGGAGCGGCGTGGGATGGAGGAGATGCTGGGGTACGAGGTCGGAGCTCGAGCTCCACCGGATGGGGGGAAGGGAGCATCGGCCATGATGTTCGCGGGTCGCCCCCCAAATGATGCCACGAAATCAAGGCCACCGTTTCTGCGTTCCTGTTTGCTCGTTTTTGGCTTTGGGTCCACAATGCTGATTTCGTTCGGGGACTTGCGCTACTAAGTTGAGGGGTTCTGTAAGTGCGTGGTAGTAAGCATTAGCCATTGTAGTAATTTGTGTGGAGATAACAACCTGCTAGTGCGTGGTAGTCGAAGCTACGGGGTAAAGTGCGTGGAGATAACGTGCGCTTGTGATACAAAAGTGCGTGGAAAGTCCGAGATATGTAAAAGATGCGTGGACACTGCAGAGATGCGTGGGTGACCTTGCGTGACAGGTCCGAAAGCAGCAGATCTTACCACGTCGCGATCTCACTATTCTATTCAAAGAGAAATACGAAGCCGCCAGATGCGAGATTCTAAAATAAAATAGACAAGCAGAGCCTAGTCATAGCAAAATAGCTAGATCTTGAGAGAAAATCATAGATTGCGGGGAAAGGGGAATCCGGATATTGTAGTAAGGATGAGAAGGAAAAGAGGGGAGAAGAGCATAATGTCACGAGCTGATGCGGACTTGGACATTAATGCTCGGCTACTGTGCTACTAGGAATCGGGCAGACAAGGACTTTATTCGAATGTATACTTCCAAGTACTAAGGTACCTGGGGAGAGATCCAAGTATATAGCCGCTATACTATGAATAAATAACTACCCAGAACCTGAGCGAAATCAACTGCGTTATGCTCCTAGAGCAGAGGTCTTCGAACAGAAGATGAAAACATAGCTGATACCCAGCAAAAAAGAAGAAAAGGGCTATAATACAGAAACACATACCGGGCGAAATAAGCCAGATCCCCGGCTACAACCCCATGCACATTAAGAAAAAGAAATAGGCCCTTCATACAGAAAAGCCAGTGACCATAAACAGTTCCCTTCGACGCCAAACCTAGACCCGACATAAACCCAAAGAAACAAAGAAACAGAGGACACGCGAAATCTATAAGTACAACACAAAAACCCCCCATCCGACATCGTCACAGTCATACTCAAGCTGTCATAGCAATGGCCGGCGACGAGGGCTCAACTAGGTGAGAAGCAGGAGTGACATCGCCATCCCCGGAGTTACTCTTCTCACTAGACACAGCACTGCTGCCATTGGCCGTGTCGGTGCCGGCGGCATGGAGAGTAGGCTTTGTATCGCTATCGCCGCTTTCCATCGCTGCAACCTTGCCATCGACCGAGTGGTCGGACTTGGACATACCCGGTGTGCGCCAGGCGGGGAGTTGCCACATAATGCCGGTGAAACTGCGTAGCTGTAGGGGCTTGCGCTCCCATTTGCGACACGCGGCTCCGGTGCGATCTAGCGCGCGCAGACCGGCGTTGATGGCTCCGGTGTTGGCTTTTGGTCCCAGACGCTGTGCGGCTGGGATTTTTGTGGTCTCGCCTTCATCACTAAATTAGATGATATGTTAGCTTTTGCATATTTTTCTCTCCTAGCATTGTGGTGCTGCATTGAAGGGTGTGTTAGGTTCGCTTACAGTCTGGGTTTCTTCTTGGGGCCAGGGCGTCCCCGTGACTTTGCAGTAGGGTCGGTTTGTTCTTTCGTTCTTTTGTTGCCTGGCTTGGGACCCGGAACGCCCTTCCGACGCGGTGTATCGCCCGTAGTCGCCCCTGTGGCGGGTGTAGAAATGGCTTCGGCGTCGGAGCCATTGTCGGCAGAGGATGGGCGGACGGTAGGGAGCTCGGCGGATGAAGCTGGTGAGGAGTTGTCGTTGGATTTGATGTTGGTATTATTTTGGCTCTTGATCTTTGGGCTGGCGAACTGCTGGAGAGTATCCGCAGACAGCTTGAGAACCACCATCAAGGAGTTGGAGGAATTCTTAGCTCCAGCGCGAGAGCGACCATTTGGAGTGGCGGCGGGCATGATGTGATGATGGGGGGGGGATGAGACGGGATTGCGCGAGGGTACTATGGTTTGGTCGAGAGGGGAATAATTCTGGTGACGGAAGTGTAGGCAATTCACCGTGACGTGGTGTGTCTCTACCGCCCTCTTATAGATGTAGAAGAAGTATGTGTGGCCGATCGCATAGTCCGGAGGAAGATAGAGTGGGGAGGGGAAGGGGAAAGGGAAAGGAAAAATGACAAGGAAGGGGCGAAGTAAAAAGGGATCGTGGGCCCTCTCATTGTAGAAAAACTCATACCCATGAAGCACAGGGGATATGTTGAAGGTGTGGACTTCGGCGTACTGTCATTACAACTTGGCCCAGCCACTTCGGGACCAACGGGGAGAGCTTGATACATGGTCGTGACAATACAATACAATACTACCTATATACTTCGTTTCTTTTCTTTTGTTCTCGATCTTTGATTATTATTGTATGGTACATATGTATGGTTGATGTCTTCATCTTCAACATTTGAAGTCTATCTGGGTATTTCCTCCTAGGCAGAAACTTGACGTTCTAATCTCCTATATACGAATACCCAACCCTAACCCGTTGATGGATCTCATTCATTCCACACCCGCTGCATCCCGAAAATAACTCACTGACCGCATGATGTCTCGAGAGATGCGCCTTTTTTCTTTTGTCTTTTGCAAACAAAAGAGAAAACTCAAATCTCTTTGAGATCAAAGTCCAGGTGGACCCATTCGCAACAGATCTGGGCTATCACGAGTCTTCAATGTTCTCACAAAGTCACAACATTACGGGTCGCCACCTCGGAAACTTGAACTTCGCCAATTAGTTCACGGGTGAACCAAAAGAATTGCCAAATTACGCGAAAGTGCCAAGGGATCGTCCAGATAAACGACGAAAATTCATATACTTGTCGATCACAAAGAATTCATGGAATACAACCTTGGAACCTTGGAATAGGAAATATGTAAATATACAACAATGAACTATCTAACTTCTAGTTTCAAGTCTACACCTGAAATCCAATCAATCGCGCTTACTCTCACCGTCAGCCTTGCGTCGTTCAACCACTTGTGCTACGGCACGTTGCACCTCAGGACTGGAGCGCACCCCGCCGAGGATTAGCCCTTCCTTCATGCCCCGTCGGAGTGTCGACACGCTCTCACGGTCACCCCGGAAAGGAGCTAGGCCCATCTGCAGCATTCGCGTCGCCTCCATATCGGTGCCGCGCGTCAACTGGGTCAGCTCTCCGATCCGCTGGACAGTCTGCGGCGATATCTTGTCGCCGTTGCCATTCGCATTCCCGGCAACTTTGGCCGTGGGCGGCGCGGCCTGCGAGATGAAAATGTGCAGCATGATGGAGGCGCGGCGAGCTAGCGTCAGAATCTGGAAGGGGAGGAGGTAGAATGATTGTCTAGGGAGCCAAGCTTGTAGCGCGACGGGAAGGTATGCGGTAGGCATGAACACAGCCTGGGGGTGCGTAATCAAGCCGAGTTCGAGGGTCAGCATCGCGGCGAACGTGTAGAAGCGCCACTAACAACAGTCAGCTTATGCAATTGGCACTCTCCCAATAATGATGCTGTGTACTCACGTAACGGCCCCAATTCGCCCACCACAGCCAGTTAAGTACAAGCATTGTGACAAGCCCGCCGATATATTGCGGGACAATCGACTTGACCAACGAGGTCATCAGGAAGTCGCGCATGGTCTTCTGCTCCCCCCATCCGAGCATATCTGTCCCGAACCGGTCATACGCAAATCGCTTCACTGGGTCTGCCAATGTTTCCTGCGCCTGTCGAAGGTACAGGAAGTAAGCATCGGACCCGCTGTCCAGCCCGACTTTATCGGGGTGATATTGAGCTGCGAGCCGGCGGAATCGCGACTTGATTGCGCGTTCATCGGCAAATGGTGATACACCTAGTGCTTGGTAGTAGTCACCCGCAAGCTGTACCTGGTAGAAGGTCTCGTAGAGTGTGTAGAGGAGGTAGCTAGTGATCACGAAGATGAAGATACGGCGACGATGACGCTCGAACCGTGGAGTCTGAGGAAGTGGCTTGGGTTCACCGGCACGTATGGTTATGCCATAGTAGACACTTTGTAGGAAGGATGTGGCATACTGTCGTTCATATCAGCTCCCATTCCACGTGCTGCATAGCTCCGCATCCCGCTCCACTCACATTGGGGAGAACAGCCCACCCGAAAAAAGGCAGAAGGGACGACATGGTGAGTAAATCGATCTCACCTGAATAATCCCAATCGTACCATATCAAACAAGAAACCAGAAAGATAAAAGATAGATCCCTAAGCGCCACTTGGCGATTAGCACAATCGACCCCAAATAATCCCGGGGAACCATTCGACCCCGTCACCGCCCGACCGCACCGCCTTCCCATCTCGTCATTCCAAAAGCCAAATGAAAAAAAAAAGTTCTCGACGCCCAAAAGGAAAAAGAAGAAGCACTTCAATCCCTCCACACCGACACGACAAGCTCCGTGGAGCGCCCGAATTGCCTCCACGATGGCAATTGACGCAATGGAAATCGACAACCTGCCGCTGCGCTCAGCTGACGCAGAGCGCAAGCGCAAATCCAAAAAGGACGCATCCACATCCGCATCACCATCCAAAAGGCGAAAGCAAAGCCCATCCTCAAAAGCAACTCCAAAAGCCCAAGACTCCAATCCAGAGTCCCCCTTCACCCTCACAACAGCAACCCTCTACCTGCCCCTGTCGCCTATCTCCATCTCGCCAACGCACGCGCTGGCCTCGCTGCTGGCCGAGCATCTCTCCCCACTGCTCCTGACGTACTTTCCGCCGCTGAAGGGCGTTGTCCTGGCTTATTCCAATGCCTCGATTTCCAGCAAGCCGCCGGCGAGTCCACGCTCTTCCTCGGATCTGAACCCGCAGCCGCTCACCCTCGCCACAACAGCGGACGAGTACGGCGTCTTGTATGTCTACCTGACCGCCACATTCCTGGTGTTCCGACCAAAGCGCGGACAGACCCTTGATGGATGGGTGAATGTGCAGTCGGAGGGATTCCTCGGCGCTGTTGTGTTCAATTTGTTTTCTGTTGGCGTTGAGCGCAAGCGTCTGCCCTCGAACTGGAAGTGGGTGCCGCCTGGTGAGGAGGCTGAGACGCCGGCTTGGACCGATGACGACTCGGGCTCTGATAAGGATATGGCGGATTTCGATGCTGAGAAGGAATGCTTCAAGCCTGCCTCGCTTTCTGCGGAGGAGATCGCGATTGACGGTGAGGAGGAGGATGAGTCTGCTCACACCGGTTACTTCCAGTCTGTTTCTGGACACCGGGTGAATGGCTCTGTGCGCTTCCGTGTTGTCGATGTGGATGTCATTCCTGGTTCTGAGCGGGATCGCGGGTTCCTCAGTATCGAGGGAACTATGCTTTCTGTTGAGGAGGAGGAGAAGCTCTCTGAATCTGAGCGCCAGGGACAGTCTTTGCCTCCGTCGTTCTTCTCATCGCCCAAGAAGCTCTCTGGGTCTATTCCCGTGATGGATGTCCCGGCGGCGTCGGCCGTGCAGGAGCTTTCGACTGTGGATGTGCACCTTGAGCCTAGCCCTAAGAAGGAGAAGAAGGACAAGAAGGACAAGAAGGAGAAAAATGAGAAGAAAGAGAAGAAGGGCAACACCGAAAAAGCCGAGAAGACGGAAAAGAAAGAAAAGAAGTCCAAGTCTTCCAAGTTGAAGAAGGACGAATAAATTCGCTCTGTGTACATGTCTGCGTGAGCACGGATATCATATATCACTGTTGACTACATCCTGGATGGGCGTTCCGGTTTGCTTGTTCTCATTTTCCGTTCCCAATGTGTATACGTCAATTGAACATTTAAAGAAAACACAATTCCAAACTATTCCCCGACATATTCAATACTAAGATCCAAACCTCAAGTCCATCATATCCCACCTAGAGCTTAACAGCCAAAACATCCGCACCACCAACAATATCCTTCTTCCCCGGCATCTTTCCAGCCTTCATCAACTCCGCAGACTTAGACATAATCGGATCCATCCCCATACTAGCAACGGCCACAACGGTCTCCCCGGCCGTATAAAATGCAACGAATTTTGCCTCCCCCTTCTCCTGCAACACAACATCATCAAACCCGTTGACCGGATTCCCACAGTATCTCAACTGCGCCCCAAGCGCCGACCAAAACACAGGAATAAACGTCTTAGGTTTCAGGGACGACAGCGGAGAATGCCGCGCATGCACGATCGCGCGCGCAGCCGCACGTCCCGAATTCTGCGCGACGTTCCAGTGCTCAATGCGGACTGGCGAGCCGGCAGCGTCAGCGCCAGGGCCGAAGTAGGGATATGTTGCTATATCACCGATGGCAAAGACGGAGTCTTGCAAGCCTGGCACGAGGAAGTGGGAGGTTGTTCTAATTGAGCCGTCTTTTTCGAGGGCTATGGATTTGTTGTCGCGGAGGAAGTCTGTTGCTGGGCGGACGCCCACGCCGAGGATGACGAGATCTGCTGGGAGGGTTGTTCCGTCTTTCAGGTGGACCGCCCCAACTGTGTGCGCATCTGACGAGGAGGCTGATGCGTGGCTAACCTTTGCTGAGAGGTTGAATTTGAGGCCGGCTTTCTCTAGGTTTGTTTGGAAAATGCGGCCCACTTGAGTGCCCATTACAAGCTCCATCGGGGATGATTCCATGCCTACTATTGTCACGTTGTGGGATTTCGAGAGCGCGTTGCCGACTTCCAGGCCGATGAAGGAGCTGCCGATTACCACGATGTCTTTTCTGTCTTGGCCGGCGGCTGTGAGGATTGACTGCACGTTATGGATTGTGCGCAGGGTGAAGACGTTTTTTAGTTCGCCGTTGAAGCCTTGTAGCGGGAGTCTGCGTGGGAGGCCGCCTGTTGCTAGAACTAGTTTGGTGTAAGGGACGTTGCGGCCGGATTTGGTGGAGATGGATTTCTGTTCAAAGTCCACGGCTGTCACTTCATCTGTGATGGTTTCTATGGCAGCTTCGGCGTACCACTCTCGTGGCCGCCATTGGATCTTGGCTGGGTCTGTGATTAGGGCTTTGGATAGCTTGGTTCGATCTATGATTAGATCGGGCTCTTGGGAAATGATTGCAATTGCCCCCGGGTACTTGAGCTCGCGGATGGCTTGAATAAGGCCAAGAGTTCCGCTTCCTCTGTTTGGTGTTAGTGTGGGTACCTAATTATCCGAATGAGAGTGAGTGTAGAAACATGTGCATAGGGCGTATGAAAAAAAAACGGAGTAGCTGGAGGCACTGGGGAGCTTGGAATAACACCGTGAAGCACCGTGAAACACCAGTGAGGAGCACTATGGAGCACTAGGGAGCATTGTGAACAACATTGTGAAGTAACGTGATATCAGTAATGTGAATATCACCCGGGAAAAAAAGGCGGAAAATAAAAAATTTATCGCCCGGGGGCGATCCGGCAACTCGAGATCAAACGGCACTCGAGCTGAGGATGGGCGGTCCAAAGAAGCGGTGCGCCAATTCGTCGCCAACGACAACCGCTTGGCCAAAAGCCCGCCCATCCATACATTCACAACGGGAAGCACAATATATCACGCGAAACGTGTATAGTGATGAAGCCAAAAGAAAGATTGTCACTTACCCTCCAACAATAACAAGCTTCTCATCCGGCTCTGAGACACTGCATTTCACAACTGGATTGCGTTGTCCTGCCTTGATATCTTCTTCTTTCGCAACGATGTACACGCCGCCTTCTTTCTCGAAGATTATGAATTTGTTCAACGCGTTCGGGGCTGGGGCGTCCTCAACATCGCCAGTTGGGACGTTGTAGCAGGCTTTATATAGTAGTTAGCTCTTTGTCCTTTTCTTTGTTTTGAAGAAAGGAAACTCACCTCCATGCCAGGGACATGTAAGTCTTCCATCTTCGGTAACAACGCCATTCTTCAACGGTGCTCCGTAATGCGTGCACCGCGTATTGAGGGCATGGACTTTATCGTCCAGCTTGACAAGGAGAACCTTACCATCCACAATGCCTTCGACTTCAGCCTCGATTTTGTCCAGAGGTTTGAGGGATGCGAAGGAGGAGATGTCTTTTAGTTTGTATTCTTGGGACATTGTGGATAGGTTGCGTTTGGATTGGGGCGACTTGAATGGGGATGAACTGGTAGTAGGTATTGAAGAAAATGAAGATGAAGATGAAGAAGAGGAACAGGTCAAGAGTAAGCTGGGTATGCGGGGTGAGGGAATATGGCGTAATGACCAGAGTAGAGCGTTACACCGCCGGGATAGTTGGATAGATGGCCACGTACTTAGTCGGTACATGGTTAGGGGGAAGGAGGAAGTGGAAAGAGAACTTGCTTTAATAGGTCGGTTTCTTTGTTAGTTCAAACCATTGACTGCAATGCTTCAAAAATGTGAGATATGTCGTGCAATACCTCTAGGGCTGAAGTATACAACCACCATGACGTCACTTTGTATATGAAATCCAACCAATCACAAGGTTTTGTCATGATCTGCAAGAACATCCATACGGATTCAGAATAATCTTGTATTGATCTTGAGCCGAAATAAAATAACGTCAAATGAATGTGCAGGTTCCTAGACGCCATCGCTCTGCGCCCGTACATATATAGACGATGTAAAATGCCAGTACATCCGATATCTCTTCAACTTTCAATAACAAATAGTCCAGCCGTATTTCAGAACTTCCGTGACGAGCGCCTCTTCTTCTTCTGGCTGGGAGGACTAATACTCACCTCCACCACGTGTTGGAGCTTTCCCGTAGAAGCTCGGGGTGGACGTTCAGACGAGCGAGGAATGTCCTGTGACTTCCCATACACTGCAGATTTGGAGCGCTGGGATGGGTTCGGATTGGAGGTGCTAGGTTCAGGTGATTCACGCGGGCTGGAGGTGAGATCAATCATTTCGGATGCCTGGGAGGCGGGGATTTGGGAGGCGGATTCGGATTCACGCACCCGCTGGGAGAGTTTGGAGCGAGTAGATGCGGCGGGAGATTCCGTTTCGAATGGTGAAGGGAATGAGGTTTGTTTTTGAGACTGGGCATCCTGCTGGGCACTCATTGGTGGGTTGGGAGAGCGCGAGTTGGATGCCCGTGGGGAGTCAAGCGCCGAGAAATTGAGGTCCAGGTAAGAGTGCTGCAGACTGTCTTCCAACCGCTCGGGACCCTGATTGCCTTCGCTGTTGTTGGCTTCGCTGTTGTCGCCGTCGCTGTTGTCGCCGTCGCTGTTGTTGCCGTCGCTGTTGTCGCCGTCGCTGTTGTTGCCGTCGCTGTTGTCGCCGTCGCTGTTGTTGCCGTCGCTGTTGTCGCCTTCACTGTTGTTGTCCTCACTGTTGTTGTCTTCACCATTGTTGTCTTCACCGTTGTTGTCTTCACTGTGGTCGACTTCGCTGGTAACGAGTGAGTCGCCTGGCTCTGATGGTCCATTTCTTAATCTGTCTAAAAGATCTCTCCACGATTCGGAAGAGCTGTTCGGAGCCGCACTGGACTTGTCTATCTTCGTATCTCTTTCCACAAACAGCGGACCAGAATCAGACGCACCGTCATTACCATTGCGATCAATGGTGGACAAAAGCGAACCAGACTGAGGGCCGCTTGTCCCGGGATCGCCAGGCGGCACGAGATTTTCGTCAACAACCTGGCGCTCCTGTTCTTGATGTTCAGACGTTTCTTGGTCCTCATGATCATCCGCGAACGATTGATTTGCAGAAGCGTATGACAACACAGAAGGATCCTCGTCCCGACTGACTAGACCAGATGGCGTGTCTCCTCCGATGAGGGTATGACCTTCAAGCTCGCGACTCAGCTCAACACCAGGGGTCATTTGCTGCCAGGAACGAGCAGAATGGAATCCAGTGAAAGAAGGTGAGGGTATGGGGGGAGTAATACTGCGTTCATTAGATCCACTCTGGACTTGGATCTGCGGCACGCCTCTGCCAGGGGTTTGTTGGATAGGTTCATCGGGCATTCCTGGGGATTCGCGAGGGGACCCAAGGCGGCTAACCTCATTTCCGATGGTGACAAAAGTTGTGTCGTCAAGGTGCATTTCCTCAGGAAGGGCTGGCTGAGCGTTCGGTACGGATTCTTGAACTACAGAGACACTTGGGCATGTAAGCATGAGCCGACAATCCGAGTCTATTTCACTGACATGCTACCTTCTCGAGTATTGTTCTGGTCCGCAAATTCCACACCTGACTGTGCTGCGGGTCGGATAAGCTTCGGATCGCTGAGTTCTGCAAATGCAAGCTCGCGATAGCCGTCATCCTCTCCCTCGTCGTTGGCTAGGTCTGGTATTTCAAACTTGCTGAATGGACGGGGTTCATCATAGTCATTGGATGCCGATGGGGGCTTTCGGTCTCGCTTGGCCAGTAGCACATTTATCACTCCTTTGTCTTTAACAGAGCGTACTTCGGCTACTCGGTACTCAGACATCTGAGGCTGCCAGTTCGTGGCCTTGGACATGTCTAGCTGCCGGAATGCAATGATTGCGCCGACCCCCGCTTCGCTCTCAGTCAAATCAGGAACAGAACTCATGTCAGCGGGAATCGAAGGTAGGTCATCAAAGGTAGCGTGTTCGGGTTCAGGGGCATCGTCATAATTGATCTGATCTCCTTCAGCTTCGCCAGCATAATGACCTTCATAGTAACGAGCAGCCTGGCCTTCCCAATGACCTTCATAATTGGGATCGGCTTCACCTTCGTAATAACCCTCGTGATTGGCTTGGTCATCATGGCCGTAATGATTCCCATTTTCATCGTATTCCTCCTGCTCCTCATATCCTTCGTAGACCTGGACACGCTGCTTTCTCTTCCGCTTCTTGCTGGGGCCTTTGAGCTCACGAATCGATGCATTGGCTGCTTGATCCCAGCGTTGAACAAAAGGATAGGGAGGCGCGGTTATATCAACTTGGGGATAGAGACACTCAACAGCACGAACGACAAGCTTGTTTTGCCAATCAATGTCGGATGCATCTTCATCCTCTTGCATCTGCTCGGCCTCTTCTTGGGCGTCTCGTTTAGAAGGTTTGTTGCGGCGCCCGCATGCACTAGCTTCGGCAGCGAGCTTCCTCCGTGTTTCTTCTTCATCTTCCTTGGTCTTTGGGGTTCGCATTCCTAGAGATCCAAACAGCATGCGTCGTGAGCTGGCGATGTCCAGAGTACGTCGGTTCGAAGTTCCCTGCTCCTGCTGACCCTTACCGGGCACTTCTTCTGAAACAGGGGTCTCTCCGACGGCGGATACAGCGGGGGGGACATTTTCCTTCTCCGATGTTTCGTCCACATCAACACCATTACCCGACGCAAGATCGCGTAGCAGTTTCTCGCGCCTTGCTTCGAACTCGTTCTGCTCTTGTTCCTTTTTTTCTCTCTTTTGCTTAATGGAATATTCGGTAGATTCTTGTTCCGGTCCCACAGGTTGTTGGGGTTGCACAAATGGCTCAAAGGGAAGATATTGCTCCGGAGTATGCCAGCCTCCGTGGCTCTCTTCCCACGCCCGCAATGCATCGAAACCTGCTTGTTGATGGAGAGCGCCTACCTGCTTAAGCTTAGATAGACGGCGACGTAGTTTGATGCGGTTGTTGCTCTTTTTGGTGCGTATGGACCCTTCGCCAGGAGCGCTCACAGAAACCGGTTGTTGCACCTTCTTGACAGGCGGGGCGGCTTCCGCGTCGGAATCGGAGTCTGATGAATCGGAATCAGAATCAGAATCAGAAGGTGCCTCCGCCGCAGGCTCCACCTCGCTCGAAGACGCATCATCAGAATCATCATCAGAATCGCTGTCTGAACAAGACACAGATGAATCCGATGAATCAGAAAGGGAAGTTTCAGCAGAACTTTCGTCAACCTGTGGGGCTTGCGGAAGTTGTGGGAGACCTGGCATATCCTCATCCACCTGCTCATCTCCCTTGTTGAATCTCACTGCCTTGGAGGTCCTGGGAGACGAGTCTTCCGCGCGAGACCGCTTGCTGGAAAGAGACGAGGCAGCTGCAAGTGACCCCTTGGAAGTTGGTCGCTTGACTATCGAGGTAGCACGTAGTGGGTGCCCACCGGCATTCCGAGTCTGGTTCCTGATATCAACAAATTGAGAAGGTTCTTCAAAGTCCTCTTTGAGTGCTTGGAGTTCGCTCTCCAACTCATTTTCCTCAATTTTAGGCATCTCAGACATATCCGCTTCACTATCGGATTCTGCGGTGTGGTCAACAGGATGACGAATAACCGTGCCCAGGGACTCGTCGTGCTCGGCGGGTACGACCGAAAGCTCCTTTCCGAACCCGGTGTTTGGAGGCGGAAGCCACTCTCCATCACCTTCGTCGTCGGCATGTACATCCTCGGCCGCAAACTCTGGAGCGTGATCCCAGCCGGAAAAGACCGTGCGCCGCTTCTTCCTTGGTGGGATAGTAATTGCAGGCCGTGTAGAGGTAGTTCTTTTCAGGAATGGAGACCCGAAAGGTACGCCGTCGATCAGATGCTTGCCCTCGGCAGTAATTTGGTGGCGACCACACAGCCTTCTGGTCCGCAGGTCTGCTAATTGAAGGGCGCGAATACTAAAAGACGAAAATTAGTCCAGTGTAAGATATTAGACACTTGTTAGATGCACATACACAACTTCGTCTCCGTCTCGGAGTAAGCCATCGACCTCCATAAAATGGAGGCATTCCGAGCCAGCAACTTCGACAACATAATCTTCCAATCCCCACTGGCCACTAAACTCCGCATCAAAGACACTAGGTTCAGTTTCCAGTGGAACGACTTCATTCACGTCCTCGAGGAGTTGTGCGACCGTATATCCACCGTTCGAGAAGGCGATGTTCGGGGTCCGAGACGATGCGACAGCTGCGGTTGATGCCGGGCGCTGAGTCCCATATTCGCCTAGCATAGAAGTAGACGAAGTCGTCGTCCAAAGAATGCGCGTGACCGGCAGGCCATGGCGCGAGATAACAAGGTGGAGACGCATGCTGGATGGTCAGTCGTGAGCTAAATCATTGACGCGGTGAATGGGCTTTTTCGTGCTGCTATTATTGGGGGGTTTCGAGTCGAGTCCTCGGAGATAATGTTTCGATCTGGCGCTAATCCAGTTGATCCAAGCTGCTATAGCAGATTCGATGGAGATCCGACGTGAGGACAGATGCCCATAGGCTTGGACATATGCTCGAGTGGAAGAAGAAAGCAACTGATCAGAGCTCGCGCGGAGTGTACGCTAGCCATTTTTGGAATAGCGCACATCTTGTCCCATGCATGAACTTGCCTTCTCCCCATTCATATGCTGACCTGATGCGCACTATATCGGCTTCATTCACGGATTCGGCTCATCCTTCGGACCAATTGTACGTAAAAATTTATTACGTTCAACGGGCGGTACCCTTAATGAGCTAATTTGTAGATTCCTTTAACACTAACCCCGATAGACTTATGATGAACTTCAACAAGACGATAGCCTTAGAAACACTTTTCAACACTGGAATTTGATGGGTATCGAGCTTGAAGATAGGAATAAAGTAGTTTCTTTGATGCGTAATGCTATGAGTGCTGGAATAATCACTGGCAAAGTGCCATGATGCTCCAATTAATATCAAACCCGGACACTGAGCGTGAAAGAGGAGAGAATATGACCAGATTAGCGGAACCAAACAACCTATTGAGCCCGATTTGGACTTCGTGGCACAGGCTTCCGATTAGGAACACCCAAGTTCATAGGACGAAGATTATTCCGCGAACGCTGGCGGTGCACAGCTTGGTGAGCGTTCAGTTGATTCCCCGCAACAGGCTCATATTGCGGCGGACTTTCTTCATCCACGTTGTTCCGAGGAAATTTCATCATGCTCGCCGGACGTCTCACGGGGGATGTGGGAGGTGATCCAGATTGGGATTCCGGCGGTGTGGTAGGTAGCATGTCGAAGGACTCCGTGGAAGCACGATTGCCTCGGCGACAAGGGGCCGAGGATCCTTCTGCGGCGGGCCCATCCTCAAGCGCCTTACCCGGTTGGGCTGCGGACTTGGAATCAGCTCCAGATTCTACTGTGCTTTGTGACGAGGCATCTGGTGGGTGATACTCGCGGCGTGGTCCATCCACTGGACTTAGGTGGTCTCCCATGGCATCCTCGTAGCTGGGTGGTGCGTCGTCATACACATCGCCGGAATTGACGGGTACAGGCTCGCCTGTTGGCCGTGGTGGTACGGGTGGTCTGCTGCTTCCTATCTCTGTTGGCAAGCTGGGCTGGGGTTTCAGTTTAGAGGATGATGATGGCTGAAGTGATGCAGCGGCCATTGCATCCAGGAGGGCCTGTGGCGGAGCGATTCCCGAGAATACTCTGACTGGCATTCGTAGGGGAAGAACGATAAGTTGAGGCTATGACATGGTCAGCCAAGAGACAACTCCAGGGGATCGGGATATCAGCACATCAGCATACCTGCATTTCTCGGCCATTTGAATGAGTCAAGCCCACTCGTATCTCCAGCTCATAAGATCTAGCAATGTTACATGTCTCAAAGGACGGTGCCACTGAGTTAGGTAATGGATACCGATTCCACAGGTTTGGATCAATAGTCCAATCAGTGCCTACGGGGTCCTCTGGCTTGCCTAGCGGGATACTCATGTTGCTGCGGCTCATGATAACCCACGAGCCACTTTCAGTGCGGTTGAGGTCATGGGCCAGAATTTTCGTGTAGGATATTAGTTCCACCTGCAACATCTGAAGGAAGATTACGTCCGGACCCTCGGTTATCTTTTTAACGAGGAGACGGAGGGGGACAGGTTCGTTGCAAGTGAGAATAGACGGGTTCGGGAGTCGAGCATCCACGGACACCCGAGGAGGCTCTGCGTATGGCTCTTTGAGTGAAGAAGATCCCCGTGAGAATATGCTCTTTTTCTTAGACGCAACCTGGATCTTGGAGAATTGGTGTTGCCGCCTGGCGTAGGTTTCCTCGTTGGGATTCCCGACTCTTGGTGGCTCAATCGGAAGGAAATTCAGAGGTACAATCTGAGAAATCAATTAGCGAGTGCGATGATAGCATATTATCGGAGCATATCACTTACCGATCTGATGTTTTCTTTGTAGAACTGCGGCCGGATGACTGTGGCCTTGACGAAGTATTTGATATCTGCTACACCTGGGAACCCGCTTAAAGATGGTGGGAGAGTCTTTCTGACGTGTCGATTGGTGTCTTTAGCCACCTCGACTTTCAACCCGGAAAAGTTTAGATTGGTAAGCATGCTGTTCGTGGTGCTGCATGAATTATTGAAGGGAAACTAGTAGAGCGTTAATTGTGCCCTAACTGCCATAGAATACACACTCTACCTTGAATTCGAAAGGGTACTCATATGACCCTGCGGCAAATGTATATGCAGGCGCAGGGGACCCATTCTGCATCACACCTGGTGTCGGGAAGACTGTAGCAACCTTGTATAAGATCTGCATTCGTTGGTTAACCAATGCTCCAGCCACCAGTCTCCAGCCAATATTTTATCCGGCCGATTGCTATGATAAAACACATGCTCTCACCTTGTGAACCTCAAGCTCCGTTCGCTTTTTGTCCGAGTGCACATTTTGAGGGTTCTTGGGACCGGATAGACGAGTGCGGCTCTCGCATTCCAATTTAACCTGAATGGCCCCGATGGCTGCTTCTGCCGGTAGCTGTAGAACAACTCTGCCTTTCAGGAAGTCCAGATTTGTATAATGGGTGTGGCGGCTGTCCAAGACGATATTTGCGGACATGGCGGCGGGCGCCCGGGCCCTGGCGGGGCTCTCTCTTCGGTTGGTGGCGGTGTTCGAAGGGTGAAATGGAGAAATGCGGTCGCTGGAAAATAACGCGAAAATTATCAAGTGCTCGGAAGATGCAAATAATGTACGGCTCGACGTGAAGAGATGTTGTGGGGGCCGTGAGATGGGGGGAGTACGGATTATATGTGAAGGATCCGGAATGACGTTTCAAGCGTTCGCAGATCAACTGATTGCCAAGCAACATACAACTGCCGCAGTCTCGCCCAGTATAATCAAGGACTTTTGCAAGATTAAAGGCTAGAAGGTCGGATTAGGCATATATGCTGCGCCTCAGTCACATCACAGCCACACTTCTAAGACAAAGGGCTCATTCCGCTAGTACCCGGAAACTATAAAGTCCAACGGTTGTATCCGTACAATCCACTCTCCCATAGCTACCTACATGCATAGGGAGTACTTGGATAGTAATTAGATTATTTTGAAATTTGATCGTCTATTTCATTGACAGATTCACATTGGTTTCACTGTACAAAAGGATATACATAGCTGACAAGAATAGGACGAAAATACCGGGAACTTCAACTCCAGGCACCAGGATTTCCATATCAAACCCGAAACAGACTCACAGTACGGAGTAATGCAGCCACAACAGGGCTGAGGAAATCCAAATATATCCGACTCTACTTTCTCAAAGTCCCTCTTGTGCTAACATGTCTAGTGAACATACAGCTTGTCAGTCTCAAGTAACCCAATCTAACCGTAACACATACCTGCGATGTCCAAATAAAATGCAATGGCGTTAAACCTGCATGGAGATCAGCAGAACTCTGGAAATAGGATGTACGATTAACTGACTTTCGTTTGTTGCCTGTCACTTCCCCGACTAGCCACTTGAGCCGGTTGGTCCAGTTGATCAGGTCCAGATGGCTCACGCCCATAAGGGTTCCTTTGTATCCTGCATCGCCTCCCCAGTGGCTACTAGACACGCTAACTAGGCCATCGTTGGGTCCTTCGATCTCTGCAAGTACTCGGTGAGAAAGCCGAAAGGCGGACCATATACTTGGCTCCACTGCTGCTCCATAGGAGAAATATCTGGGGAATGTTGGCAGGGCGTAAAGTGGAGAGAATACGTGGCGCTTACCTGACATCATCCATATCTGGGGTATTTGGGTTGAAGGTCTCGGTCATGTATTTTCGTGTTAGCTGAGCGAATGCACCTGTCTCGACATTCAGTCGATTAAGGGCATAATAGATCTGAGGTAGGCGATCGGCTGCACAGAAATAAAGGTTATCTTCTGAGTTCTTTCAGTGAACAAGTAAATAGTGACAAACCTCCAATTTGACCAAGTACATAGTCCGCCACAGATGAACCTGCTAGACAGTTAGCAGGAAGACGAACGAGAAGCTATGCTGTGCCAGACCTCGATGCGGAGATGCGATAGTGGTCAGTGACAAGACTTTGAACCTCTCCGGACGTACGTGGCTAATCATATATCGTGAATCAAGTCCACTTTACAAGTCATTAATTAGCTTGCGCTTTATAGTGTGGTCCTCGTGTTATGCCTCACCCCTAATCACAGATGAGCATTAACTCTATCGCAACGATCGAGGGGTCTCACCATGCTATGTCTATACAAAAGTCGGTCAAAATATGTCAATGTGTGTAACCAGAAGACGAAGGTAACATACGCAATGATATTAACGTCTTTCCCTCCAGCCCCGGCCTCAATATTTCGGGCCAATTGTTCAGCCCGCGCCTCAATAGACCCCGACGGGGGCACTGTCGCCGTGATAACTTCAATGCCTCGCGCCGTCAGGGCCTCTTTGATCCCACGCCAGTACTGAACACCAGGGAGGTATGGGCCAGCAAGGCGCAGTTCATCAAACCCGAGCAAGCCATGGGCGAGAACGACAGGGTATTTTGGTGCAGCTAATCGCGAGTCAGCAATTACCTACGCTGTTCAAGTCAAAAGGAACAGACCATATTTATCACGAATGATCGAGTACTCATCGACAATTACATTGCCGTGGTCCTCTAATCGTGGTTCGAGACTTGGTCTGGGTCTGCATGGAGACGCGTGATACCACCTGTTAGAGTGGCATATGGTCCGGCCATATGAGTAGCAGGCTATTGAAGATCGTTTGAATGCATTCGGCGCAAACAGAAATTGCATGTTTCATTGTTCTGGGTTGTCCGCAGATAGGTTGTCGAATGAGATCCGGCGCGGAATGACGCGACAGGGAAAAGATGATCTGCCTCAGGCCAACACGAACTATATCCCAGTGTTCTTCCACCAGAGCGTACTAGGCCATGTAAAAGGGAAGAAATATATCTTTAGCTAGCTCTTTAGGGGTCAATTCACTATGGTGCGTGAGAATAATTCAAAGCAATGATCATTCCAAGCTCTACTGATAGACAAATTTCACACGCTGGATGCCATCCAAACAATTTACGGCCAGAACTACCCATATCAAATCTGCCTCTCGATCTCCTGGTAAGATACCACCGGATTACCATTCTTGCAAGTCGCGGCGACTATTAAAAACACTTTTCAGTGCCACATATCGGCAGTCGTTGAGGATGAACCCCACGCCCAGTGACCACAAGCACGCTGCTTTGATACCTGCGCAACCGCTCTCTTACATCGCAGCAATTGTGACCATTCAATGAGATAACATTGTCGGGATATACTCCAAGGCTGTTGCGACGATACGGGGGCTGCAGTAGTAGCGAGAATTGTAACTGTCTTCTCTTGTGCCGCGATTGCCACCGAACTACTGGAGGGAAGGGATGACCCAGAGGGAAGACAAGTACGACAGGGTAAGTTTTTGGAATATGGAATTTCTGTAAGTCCGAAATGACCCTGTATCGGATGAAGCAGGGTGCCGTTTTATAATAAGAGGCAACTGATAAAGCCCCGGCACCAAACCTGAGTGGTAGAGACACCCCGTAAAACCAACAGCGACTCGTTGCCCTGGGATCTATTAACAGGGATGAGTACTGATACCTGCCCAGGGGTTCAGAAAAGACATTGAATCATCCTGCACCTCTCGTTGCCGTCGAATAAGAACAGAAATAGATATCAGGGTGTGCTCTGGCTTAGTGGACCGGTGAGATATTTGAAGATCGCCTAAATATAGCCTCCAACAAAAGTCTCAGAAAGGGCCGGGTCAGATAAGTGACTTGTGATCAATATTCAGACTTGCCGCAGATCGAAAAGCTTAGATTCAAGACAAACCTCCATGAACACTATGGGATAGGAATACGACATTTGTATTCCCACACAAGTGATCCAGAGTCTATCGACATCATATATACAGGGTTAAACCATAAATAAATTGATATTGTCCGGCAATTGGATATCGATGAACAGACACGCAATCGCATTCACGTGGGGAAAGAAAAGATAACCCAGGATATCTACATTATGCCTTGATCTTCTCAGACGCCTCGGGCTTGACGTCGGTCGTCACACGAATGAGGTCTGCGACCACCTTGTCACCCTGCTTCTTGCCGGCTTCCTTGATCTCCTGGAGCTTGAGCTCGGCTTCCTTGTCGGCCTCCGCCTCGGATACCTTGTATCCGCTTGAGTGCTAGCGAGACAGGTCAGCTTAGCACTGTAGATAACTCTTGTTACAACCGCCATTTAGGAGCTGTATCTCACCTCGCCCTCGAACTTCTTGTACTCCTCTTCCTTCTCGTTCTTGTATTCCTCGATCTCCTTCTGGGCCTCTGACTTGGCGTCTCTTATCCGCTGGGTACGGTCTGTATAATTGCAAAAACATTAGTTCGATGGAGGAATGGCGACAGGTAAGGTTGTGTTGCGTACACTCTCTGGCTAAAGGTAATGTGACGTATTAGTGTCTGAGATAGGCAGCGATGAGGGGTAGGCACAAGTTGGACTTAACCTTTCTGCACGATCTTCTGGGCTTCTCTCTCAGCCTGACAGTTCCGCGATTAGTATCTCCAAGCTGCGCTCAACATACAACCAATACCTACATCGAGAAGGGTCTGAATACCCGCGGAGTTCTGAGCCGACTGTTGTTCACCGTTAGCAGCTGGCCACCAATTCTGAAATAGATCGCTCACCATATTTGCTAGTGATCTCTCAGCTTTGGAAACGGGATAGAAGGAAAAATAAGGCTGGACAGGGACGATTAAATGGCGAGTCTGGAGCTCCGAGCCCAAGTCGATCAGAGCCACGCATCGCGCCCCCAGAGCGGTGGGGATTCTGCCATCAAATGTCGCCCGGTGATCGATAGACTGATAATCCCAAGACTCGTTTTGATGAACTGACAAGCCAAAACATTATTTGGGACTATTATCTACTGAACCTCTGCGTCGAGCCGTGCTCTCACTTATCCTGCCATGTCTCGCGCATCAAAGTTCACATTGGCAGCCACTGGCCTCGGCACAATGGGTATTGTCTGGTTTGTCCACTGGGCACAAGAGGCGGATAGAGCGGTATGTTACAACTTCGATTCTCTATTTCTGGTATATACTTATATTGTTGAATTTTAGGCCATGCACAGAGGAGTTGAACGAGATATGGAAAAGCAGCGTGTCCGACTAGAACGCCAGGCCGACTTCGAAATGCAAAAGGCTCTCGAGCAGGAGTACCTCAAGCTCCAAACGGTACACAGCACCACCGGCGACCCAAATACAACCGGTCAAAACACAAGTCCAGGGTCATAATGTAGTCGTTTGGCTGTGGATATCGTACTGCATTATTTTGCGCTGTCCAGTTCCCGATTCGGGCTGGATGCGCTCTGGCTATACCAATGAATTCAACGGCGGCCAGGTCGTTAATGCATGGGAGCAAGGAGTTAAAGTTGTTTGCATATGTGATGCTGTACAAATATTTGAAATATGTGGTGTATACATAATATATCCTCATATGTACCATATAAAATGAAATCGTCTCTCTACCAGCCGATATTTCGTAGTCAATGGTGTAGTTTCCAATTAATTTGGATGGTTCCATGATCCCCAGCGGGGCTTAGGGCCTAAGAAGATAACTATGTACTGCTGCAGCGACAACAGTTGGAGGTTCTGTTATGATCTCTTGGCCTACAATATACTACAGAGCCACGCTGTCTAGACCTCCTGTCAGGATTAAATTCTCTTATGTACTTAATCCAATGCTTGTCTAATTTCCACCTAGATTATACCGCTGTGTCAATCGCGGAGGAATGTTTCTTTGGAGACCTAGCGATAGCGCTTCTTATCATCCATCTACACCGAATGTACCCGTACGCAACACAGCTCAACTTCATGGGTTCTAGAACAAATGAGCTTTTCCTTACAATTATTAAGCTAAGATCTATTTATAAATTAAGTTAATTGGACATTATTCATCGGTATGGGTTGGATGTCGTTGAGTTTCCGAAAACGGCATTCCCAATCCGGAAGTACGGATTCATACAACCCACAAGACCCCAATCAAACACTTCAATTTTACATTTAGCAATAGTCTCATATTAATCTTAAGGAAACCTTATTTTTCATCCTTTCATCTACCATTAAAAGCTCGGCACCTACGTGGTGATGCCGGCTATGATTCCATACTCAATGGCATTCAAACAACGGCCCTTGCACATCATCCTGATAGTTCTCTCAGTAATATGTGTTCTTTTGGTTACAACCAAGTCTTACAAAACCATTTCTATTTCGCGGTCAGATGAGTCCCCCAGCAGCAAGTTGCAAAGAGTCGCCAAAGTGTCCATGCTATACGGAGAGACGAACCATATGTACGAAAGAGCGCTGCAAAGCCATGAACGCCATGGGAAACGATGGGGCTACCCGATGCATGTCCTGCGACAAGATATCTCCGTCGGATTTTGGAATAAACCGAGCTATCTGCTATCCTTGGTCATTAGTGAATTAACCAAGCCAGCTGGCGAGAGAATGGAGTGGTTGATGTATGTCTTTTCTTTCAGTGCATGTGCTTGAGAAATACTGACTTTTGCAGGTGGGTAGATGCAGACTCGATTATACTGAATAACGATATTCCTGTGGAAATCTTCCTTCCACCATCAGACCTGAAAGATATCCACCTGGTGGCAACCCAGGATCAAAACGGCCTCAACACGGGAATCATGTTTCTCCATGTCCACCCTTGGACGATCAATTTCCTTGCCGAAACAATGGGCTATCCTCTTTATCTCCCTCAGATTGACCTTGGTCGATCTGCCGACCAGGAAGGCATGAGACGTGTGCTCAACAAGACCACGGAAGGTCCAAACGGACAGGGCTACGCAGATGGGGTCTGCTATCTGCCACGACCATGGATCAACACCTATGAATGGGACTGGGCCTATGAAGGTAAAAAGGGAGATTTGCTCGTGCACTTCCCGGGTCTAGAGGAGCGCCGATGGCCGCACATGGCCAAATGGTTGAATATTGTTGAGACTACTCCTCATGAGTGGAACTTGCCTCTTGAGGAGACTGGATATATCAACAAGACCACACTGTATTGGTCGCAGATGCGAAGTGCGAAGGAAAGTATCAAATCTGCGGAGAAGAAACTGCAGTCTGGGGAGATAGTGTCTGGAAATACCAAGGAGGCAGTCGATGCACTCAAGGAGACTTTGCGTGAAAAGTCAGACGATATGGAGTTGGTACAGCAGCGGCTCCAGGGTCTTAATGCGTTGATCGGGATGGGATAGGCTTTTGTTGCATTGAATGTGGGAGGTACGTTTCGTTACAGGCTTATTTAAAAAGTCTCCTTGGAGAACATAGTTCAAAATCTACATTGATTTAGGCACTTACTGGTGATTGAAATATAAAGTTGCATTTACTATGTGTTTTAGAGATGGCCACTCGCTTGTGAAATACGTTATTCTCTAATTCTTCTGCCGGTCTTAATTCAGGCCAAAACCAGGCATTAAGGCATCAGTATTTGGCGGAGAAGGGGTTTTGTCGCATGGCGTCGATACCGCTGCGTAATCCCCCTTAATCTATATATTGAGGATTGATATATAGATTAGTCTTATATTAATTTGTGTAGTTATAGTCTTACTAGTTATATAAAACTATTATAGTTGTATAGTGGTTCAAGTTGTTAATCTTCACTTTATCTCGGGAATCACCCCCAAGGTATCACACGAGCCCTACCAATTTGGGGGTCTGTCCTATATCAAATCCACCCGGTACATATAACGAGGCCGGCTACTCTCGGAGGCCGGTAGCATTCCGGCCTCCGAACGCTAGGGAAGTTAAAATCTGGGCTTATCGTCCAATCAGCGGGCGGGATATGGGGATCTCTGCTTGGCAGCGCATGGACTATAGAGCATATAGCATGACTTGAGTAGACGACATTGACCATTTATCCGTAATAGTTCATCAGTGAATGGCCAATTTTTTTATTATAAGCATTTTTAAACCCATAGTTTGGCATCCGCCACCACAATATCCCATCAAATCCCAAGTAAAGCGGTCAAACTGCCTATCGAAGCCTCTGCCGTATCGGGACTAGCGCCACCCCGTGACCGTCTTCTGCCCTCTCTTACTGGGCAATTGTATAGTTCATGAAGATGTCGAGATGAAGGTCGAAATGTCTTATTCTGGCTGAATATACTCATATAAAGTGCCTCCAATGTAATCTACCATAGATAGAGCCAATTTCCATCATGTCGCACCTGATGTCACCGGGTCCACGCTATCTTCTATTCTCTTTCGTAATGAGGACTTGAGGCCGGAATTGTTACCGGCCTCAAAGTATTATAAGAATCTGCTCCTCACCTGCCCAAAATCTCGCAATTCCAATTCTCTTTTCATCTCCCAAGGTCTTCTGGCTTCTTCCTCATCTTTTTTTACCCAATTCCCCTACTCCTTAGGCTCTTGACTTGGTCTTTGACCTTCTCCTTTGTCCTTTGGCTTATACATCTACACTCTGCCCTATACCACCCCAACACCCTTTGTTCACACACACATATCATAGACCTATAGCCTTATCTTTCCTCTGGTTCATCTCATATCATCATGACTCGAACCCAAGTGCCCTACCCTTCCCCTACTACCCTGAAGCGGTTCCCTCACATCCATGATGACCCTTCATCCATCTCCCACTCCCTAGACCCTTTCACCATCACCACCAAGACAGGCTTCTTGCCCTATGAGACTGCCCCTGTTGAGCTTCCAGAGGCCTTCAGTGCCCTGCTGTCTCTGGTCAACCGTCTCCCTGTCGTCAAGCTCGATGGCAAGCCCGGTCTGTTGGCTACCTATGAGCTTGGCCCTGCTGTCAAAGCTGAGCTTACTGACCTGACTGACGAGGTTGAAAAGCTGGTTCTTCCCGATGGCTCGCCGGATCGCTTCACTATTGCTGCGGTCTTCCGTGACTATACCTTCCTGGCCTCGTCTTACCTGCTCGAACCTTGCTGGGAGCACTGGAACAAGGACCCAGAGGGTGGCTACGGACTTGGTCGTGATGTCTTGCCCCAGTCTGTTGCTCGTCCTATGTATCGCTGTGCTGAAATGTAAGGTTTCCCACTTCTTCCCCTTTCCTTTCTTCCTTGTCCATCTTGTGGATCATATCGATACACATCTTTATCATATAAGAACAATGTAACTAACAACACCCTACCTAGCCTGAACTTGCCACCTTTCATGTCATATGCTGCGTCTTACGCTCTGTTCAACTACACTGTCGCCGATCCTGCTAAGGGTCTGAGCGAGTACTCGAACCTTCGTCTGATCCGCTCCTTCGAGAGAGGTCTCGACCCCAAGAGTTCCGAGGCCGGCTTCATCCTGACTCACGTCGACATGGTCAAGGAGACCGGCCCGCTCATTGCAGGTGTCTTGAAGATCGTTGATTCCCTTGAGCAGAATGGCTCCCGACAGGAGATTAACGACGGATACCGAGAGATCCTGAAGACGATGGAGAAAATCGAAGCATCCATGGAAGGTATGTAACCCTAATCGTCCGAATAATCCCACCCTCTAGATCTTCCGACCTGACATCAATATAGACATGTGGGGCAACTCCAAGCCATCGGAATACCTCTCCTTCCGCGTCTTCATCTTTGGTATCACAAACCAATCCATGTTCCCGAACGGTGTGATTTACGAAGGCTGCGAAGACAACAAGCCTC